AGGGAACAGTTGTTTTCTTTCTGAATATTTTTTGAGTCTAGACAGTCGTAAATACAAGTGTAAAGTATAGGGTATACATGATTATCGTGATGAAAAAAGAGAGAAGACGTAATTGTGAGATAACTGTACTCGATTATATATATCAAGCAGTATATAGCAGTCAACCGTGTGATGATTACTGTTGTGATGAGTTCTTAATCAGACTTCCACGTAGTACTATGATGTGACGCAGCCAAAACAAAATGTATAGAAGTGATTTATCTTTATCTTTTCCAAATGGCTCGATTCCTTTTAAACTGAGTTTAGTGGATTCGACGAGACTCCCGCTTTTGCGAAATAAATCAAGCCCGAAAAGTATATATAAAGGTCTCATTGACCCATTCTTCTGTTCCCGCATTGAACCGACTATGCTCTTCACTGATTTCTTTTCTTTTCTACTTTTGGACTTCATTTATCCACGGCGCAAACTTAATTATTAATTTACTATCGCCGATAATAATCCTCTGGACTCCTGAGTCTTAAATGTATAAACCCTTTTCTTTTCTAAATAACACTGGCTTGTATCAAAATAAAAACTGATATTGATTTGTCGATCGATCGAGAAAACATAATTGAGGACAAGTGTCCTGATTATCCTCAACTCGAGATGGAAGAAAAGTGGTTTTTATTATAGTTTTCAAATCTCAAAACCAATTATGTGATATTTAATATAGAAAAAAATATGATTAGAACCAAAAAGTGGTGGCGATACTGTAAAAAATGGGGAGGGGGAGCATCCAACCCGATTATAAGGATTCTGACAACGAATTGCGATGCTGAAAAGCAAACGCAAAAGCCATGGGTCGATGCCTTGGCAAAAACGCAAGCGTTGTGGTCTTTTCCTCCGTCAGGTCCATCCACAAAGCCCTACCTAGTCAAAAAAGCGTGATGGGAAGAAAAAAAATAATTAATTAAAGATATTAAAGATTTAATAAGATTAAAATATTAAAAATATTTTATCAATTAAGAATTTTTTTTAATTTCATAATATTTGAATTATTATTATCTTTTTATTTAATTTTAAAATTTTAAAAATTTCTCACATTTAATTTTAGGATTAAGGTTGATACTTGTAAATAGCGCTTTAGTTCATTTGTCTTTTATTTATAAACGCACATTTGATTAAATAAGAATTATTATTATCTTATCTTTGTATTGAGTTTTTCTGTTCTTTTTATTCTCTTTATTGACCTCTTTCTCTCTTTTTTATATGCTCTCCCCCCTTTCCTTTTCCATTCTGTATCTATTGGTATCAGAGCTAATGTTTTCACACTACTACTACCAAATACACTCTAAAATATTTTTTAGTACCAAGAATTATCACATGAAAAGGTTTTGGGAGATAAGTTTATAACTTAAGGCTCCTTAAGTTACTCCATAAATTTCTTCAATCCTAAATTCTATGTCCCTTGCAATTTGTCTCTTTTTCTAATTCCTTTTTTTTCTATTATTCTTATTTGTTTTCACTTCACTTTAAACCATTCTACCATATTTCATTCTTTTTTATATTATTTTATTTCCTTTATTTCTTTAATTGTATATTATTCTATTTTTTCTTTCCTTCATTCACTCGTTCAATTTTTTTCTTGATTCAACCCTAAAAAATAAATCCACCTTATAAATAGTTTGGCCCTATACCTAGGTCAAAATCTACCCTAGGCTATTCAAGGTTTCTATCAGTTTTCTTGAGGGATTTCCAAGCTTTTAGAGGTCACTATGAAGGCTTTACTCAAGTTGTTACTTATTTAGCATGTTTGATCCCTAAGAAACTTTTGAGTTCTCGGAAGGCTAGACTTGTTGAATAAGTTTTCACCTTTTAGGTGAGGTCAACTTAGGAAGCTTTTCTCAAATAGGATATGAAAGCTTCCCAGTCCAAAAAAAAAAAGATCTCACCTTCCATTGCCTACAATTATAAAAAATAATCAAATTCAATTGTGATGTTATAGCCTAATTTAATTGCCAATATGATTACAGTGACCATCATCGGTATAATTATATAGATCGGTATAATTATATTGATTGTCATCTATATAATTATCATTGTCAATATGATTATGTTTATCATCACAACTATGATTATGTCAATCATCATGAATGTCACTATCAATATGATTTGGTTGATCAATCAAATTTGAACTTCATATATTCACGCCCGAACTTGTGAGAGATAAAATTGATAAACTCCAAAACTCCATTCGATCCACAATAAAAGAAGGGCATTGCTATCAAGTTAATAAAGAGAAATTATATCAAAAGAAAATAACTCTTAATCTTCTTGATAGTATCTTAAAACATCATAAAGACCCTAATATTTTGACTTTTGAAGGAGATAATATGTCTAACCAAGACCATGCACCTTTATCAGTGATGCTAAAGCGTAATATTACTGCTGATTTTGAGATTGAGACATGTCACGACATAAAAATTAAAGAAGTCCAGTCAAATCATATTAAAGCTTTTGTTCCTACCCTAGATCTAAGCATTGTTGAGACTCAAGAGGCAACTCTTGACTACGAAGAAGAGAGATTATAGAAGCAAATTTTACACATGGTAGTTGCGAATTTTAGGACAATTAATGATGGTATCAAATTTCAACCTCCTACTACTCTGCCTAGTTAATCTACTATGCCCTCTAGTGCTGATGTTATTGTAAATATGGAAGCACAGATTGTTCTTGAACCATATGATCCCCTCCAATATTATCTTATTTGTTGGAAAAGATTTTTAGATTTGTATGTTGTGCTTTTATATGCTCAGATTGTTTGTTGTTCACTTGATGCCATTTATTAGTATCTGATTTGCTGAAAGAGTTTCCAAACAGAGACACAACTTGAAATCTCTTGATCCCGTCGTATTTCTAGAGCATATCTACAATTCTGCTCTTTGGAAGAGAGTTTTTCAAGGAAGGGAGAAATTATGGGAAGTAAAAGAATTAATTAAAGATATTGAAGATTTGATTAGATTGGAAGATCGAATATATTTTATTAGGATATTTTATTAATTAGGAATATTTTATTTTAATTGTCGTAATATTTGAATTATTATTATCTTTTTATTTAATTTTAAAATTTTAAGAATTTCTCATGTTTAATTATAGAATTAAGGTTGAGGCCTATAAATAGTGTCTTAACTCATTTGTTTTGTATATGTATATTAGATTGAATAATAATTACTGTTATCTTGCCTTTTCTTTGAGTTTCTCTCTTCTCTCTATTAACCTCTTTTTTCTTTTCTATATTCTTTCCCACCTTTCCTTTCTCGTTCTGCATTAAAGGATCAACTTAAAGCCACCAACACAGATCTCTTTTTTGGAATTAGTTTCACTATTCATCACCATGGTGCTTATTATAAAAATCTTAACGGTTCAAATTTATTAGTTTTATTTTATTTTATTTTTATATTTGTCAAAATGAAAATTATAATTTTTTTAATAAATCTACCTTATCAGCAACGTAGAGACTGCATATTTAATCTAGGCATTCAATTTTATATTAAAATTTTTATAAATTGAATATCCATATATATATATATATATATTCTGATCATTTTATTTTTAATATTAAAATTTTTTAATGAATTTTTATTTTGGTAAATATAATATTAAAAATAAAGATAATCTCCAAAATGGCATTTTAAAAAAATTAAAATAATTGTGAGTGAAGAATTTTAAATATGAACTTTCTAGACTTCAGATTATATTGTTTTGTCCAAATTGATAATAAAATATATTTATTAAAATTTTGAGGATATTCATTTTAATAAATATAAAATAAAAACTAATTCTCATCACTTGATGAGCACCATATAGCAATAAGCACAAAAACCATATAGCAATGAGCACAAAACCAGTCTCCTCTTCTCTCGACCCTTGTCTTCCTGGGAACAGGAGAGAATATTTATATTCTCAATTCCCATAATCTATTTTTTATCAATTATTTAATTTTTCAGTACGAAGTATGTAATAAGTACTGACTATCTATTACAATTATATGAGCACTAAGTATCTTGTAAATTAGTAAAAGAATCGCTGGCGAAAAAATATATTAAAGAAAAATTCAAAACTACTGTTAATGAGAACGAGAAGATTCTGTCGTTGCCACAAGAGAAGATCTGTGTTACCAAGGCCACACCAATTCCCTGATGTGACTTATTTCCAATAATTTTTTATTCATCACCTTAAAATTTACGCGTATAATAATTCAAATAATCCAAGTTCATGAAAGTCAAAAATCTATATTAATCAAAATAACATTTCTTTCCCTGTTTTTCCCGGATAAATCGTTCTTTCTCTACTACATATATTCTCACTGCATGTAAGATGTATTATTCCTTAATCATGTGTACTTCATTCGACTTTTTCTGTAGACTCAGATTATTTTGCACGCTAGCCATTCTTGGCTTCTTATTATCAAGAAACTTATGAAAACATTTTGAAAATTAAATGCTGGGTGTTTTATTTCAATATCAAATCTCGATCGACTTAACATCCGCATGCATTCTGATTGTCATATATGTAAAGTTTGAATTCATTGTCTTTGGCGCACAAGCAAAACGTACGTACGTAGAGTATGCCACTTCTTCTTCTTCTTTTTTCGGGAGGTGGAAGGTGAGAGCGTGGCTGCTATCATTTCCAGTAGCAGAACTTTATTGAAAGCCTTGGGATTGAAGGGAAGGTAGTATTATATAACATAGAGAGATAAAGAGGGCTATATAATCATCTCCCTGTAATTGCAGAGACAGCGTACATAAAAGGCAAATATAGTTTAAGAGAGAGAAGCAGCAGCGAAAAAGAAGGTGGGTGCTGGGTAGATAGGTTAAAATTTTCTTTATTTTCTTATATGTACACATGCCTGTGCATTCCGGACTGAGGAGGAAAAATATAAAAAGCGAACTAGTCGGCCTAAAAGGAAAATAAATAATTAAAGTCAGTGAGAGAGAGAGAGAGAGAGAGAGCATGGAGATGAAATACGCATGCTGTGTTCCTTTCTTTTGAAGGCTAATATAGTAAGATGGGGAAGTTGAAAGAGTAAAGAGAGAGAACTCAAAAGGTGGGCGAAAAGCAGCGAGGTATGTGGGTGTCACCTGGAACTGTGTTCCTCCTTTGAATAGAGAGAGTACTGTCACCATAGCAGATTCCCTTCGCCAAAGCAACACAATTGCTATACTACTCACACCACATTTAATCATCTTGGGATTTTCAAGCCCCTCCTTATTCCCCCTTCCTTATTCTCTTTTAAAACCTTATTATAAATCTATCATCATTATGGAATCTACCAATCTCCATCACCTTCAAGACCAACCTCCCCCTCCCCAGACTTCTTCTCTATGCACCCCTTCTTTCTTTGGCCAACAATCCACGCATTCTTGGACCCCTAATGTCTCCCTGTAAGTTCTTCCTCCTTCATGCTTCTTCTCTATGTACGAGTATATATATGGATATGTCTATGTACGAGTAGATGATCATCGTGAATGTGTATTTTTTGTTTGAATTTCGAGTCGTTGTAATTGGAAACTCCTACGATTTCTGCTGCTGATGTCTTGCTTTCTTTGTACATATATCAGTAGTATTAGTGATCAGGGCTTGGTGTCTGATCCAATTTTAGCATTGAAGCTATGTGTTTACATTTGAGTTATAGTTTCTATTTCCTTTCCCTTTCACGCAGGAATGCTTCTAACGTGAACCCGAATTTCCAAGAAGCAAATCCCAGATCAAGAGCTTTCGCGCATAAGAAAGACATTGGAGCCCATCTTCTTAACGCTTCATCAGGATTAGGTTATCAGTGGGCAAGTGCAGAAGAAAGCTGCGTGAGCAGTACTACTCAGTCAGATCACGACTTAGACCTCCAGTATTCAAATATAAAGGAAGAGATCCTAGACGCTTTCCCCTGTAAATTCACTGAAATGCTAAACAGCACTGGTGGTTCCGGTATGGAGCACAAAGATTTCAATGCTCTAAGTGAGAAGCTCTTGCTCAAGACCCTCTCCTCCGGAGATTTTTACTCCACTTCTTCTCAAAATTTTGCTAATAATTTTGGTGGTATGGGTGTGGGAGTGCCACCTAGTGGAAGGAGCTTTAGCCAGATTTACCCCAGTATTAATATTTCAAACTTAAACCATTCTTCCCCGGCTATGTCGAGTTCTTTGGATATGAACCTGCAGAGCTCAGATCTATTAAACTCTGCAAGATTTAATGGCGGTTTGAGCCAACCCACCCAGGACGGTTTAGCCAGATTTGACAGCGTTTCTTTTCGTCTTGATCATACGCAGCACCAAATCGACAGGTCTTCATGCAACTCTAGTAATGTGAGTTTCTTTCGAAATTAAAGTAAACGTATATCTATACTATATTTACCTTAGTCATATGTATTACTGATTGAACAGAGCGAATTTATTACGCAGTGTTTCATCAGTGAAAGTGAAGATTTTTCTTGCTGAGTTCATGGATAACTTAAGTCGCAAGTGATATCTCTATATAATTATCATGGAAGGAGAATAGTTTGAGTTGATGTGTTGAGAAATTAAAGAACAAATTACAAATAAGTACAGTGGATGATATATTTATGAATATGCATATTAATTATTGATAGTTGACAAGGTAAGTTTTACATGAGAGGAAAAGACGGAGTCCTTTACCGTAAAAAATAAAATAAAAACCTTTTTTTATATTAGAGAGGTATCTACAGCTTTAAACATAGTACACATGTCTTTAATCAGAATTTCTTTGCTTTTTCATTTCTTTTGGCTTTTTTGCTCTTGCAAAAAGAGCAACTTTAATTATTATTGAACTAATCTTTACTCTTTTCTACTTTGATAGCCATCACACTTCACTAATGGGATGGCAGAAACGAAGAGGCCCAACACAACTTTGGTGGAGTCAAAGGCTTCTCAATCTCAAAATGTGCCAAAAAAATCACGATTGGAATCGCGCTCATCATGCCCACCCTTTAAGGTGCCTTTTTCTTTCTTACCTTATAGAACAAGATAATGTACCTAATGATGAATTTATCTTGAAGCCACAAAACCAATCCATTACCTTAGCTTTTCACCATTAATTAAAGGTTCAATGCCTCCCACACCAAAATAATATTACATTATCATGTAACTTTATCAATTTTTTAGGTCTCAGGTTACATTGACTTTATTTCGTGGTAATTAATCGTTCAGGTTAGGAAAGAGAAACTAGGAGATAGGGTTGCGGCTCTTCAACAGTTGGTGGCTCCTTTTGGGAAGGTACCGAACTTTCACGTCCATGAGTACTTCATATATATATATATATATATGAAACTTGTATTATGGTGCGCAAAGTAACACAAACAGGCCATGAAACCTCACGTCGTCCTTTCATAGTATATTGTCGCATTTGTTTTCGATGCACGAGAGTCCTTCAGGGCTTCGAGAACTTCTCTATCATATAAAGTAAAAAGAGAGACCCGTGCTTGTTTCAGAAAGCGTACTGGCTAGATATGGTCTTATGTTCATGTTCATAAACGTCTAAAAATGCTCCACAATTAATATTTGACCAGTTCTTATATATGTTCCTTAACATGTTTGTACGTGGGTGTCTGCAGACAGACACAGCATCTGTACTCATGGAGGCCATTGGATACATCAAATTCCTTCAAAGCCAAGTCGAGGTACGTATCCAAATATATCCCCTGCACTTGCTATTTCTGTGGCTTTATCAAGGGCCTATTTATTATAGTCCTTGATTAATATTCATATGTTATGCTTGAATAGACACGATGGAACTGTTACTGTTTGGCATCCAGTACTATGCGCTGCCTGCAATATATACATATATTCTCTTGATTTATTCCTTCCGAGTCAATTAATTCGTGCTACATATTCAAACCATATGTACGTACATGCAAGTAACCATATAAATTATATGAATTTTTCAGACGCTAAGCGTTCCATACATGAAGTCATCACGGAACCACAGCAACAGAGCGATGCAAGGGGTAAGGGTCCTAAATATTACCAGCACTATTGTACGCAGGCACATTAATTATATATTATGCTATGATTAATTAAGATAATTATGCATGATGATCAATTTGCAGCAAGGATATTACAGAGCCTAAAGGTGCCATATGTATTTATAATCATGAACGAATCTAGAAATTCTTGTATTGAGGCATAACTGAAATTTTATTTAAAAGTGGGGGTAAAAGTGATTTTAACATTTTTCATCAACAAAAACTGACCTATTTTTTTTGATTTTTTTTGAAATATGGGGGGTCATGGCCCTTGCAAGTCCTGTGGATTTGTCACTGTATAATTCGAGGTAGACATCACATTGGCTTGAATAGTCTTTTTTTAATTAATCATTTAATCCTGCAATTTTGATTCAATTAATCATCTTGTTTAAAGACTGGATCATAATTGAATGATCCAAAAGAATAAGATCAAGTGATTAATTATTCTATTTCCTCTTTTGATTATGCAAAGCACACGGTGTTAAATAGATTAGATTACATGGTGAAGTGTTACTGATAAAACTGGGATGACGCTTGATGATGCCAGGTTTCAGGATTAGGTGAGGCGATGATAGAAGAACCGAAGTTAGATCTAAGGAGCCGAGGCCTTTGTCTCGTGCCACTGTCATGTATGTCTTACTTGGCAGCTGAGGGTGCTGGTGGAGTGTGGCAACAGTCTGATTTTGGCGGCGCAACACTGTGATTATTACCGAAAGTGTTTCCATTTAAATTTATAAAAACATATTATTAATTAATCCAAGAGTTCAGAACTGACGTCCAGGCCCAAAAAATGAAGCATGTGAATCTGGGCTGGGATTAATTAAACACTAAGCCCACAATGGTTAGGCTTAGGAGCAGTTCAAAATTCTGATTTTTTATGCATTCAGCTTGATGGAGCAAATTTGGTCTTCCTGTGGAAGAAATCAGGGAGGGACCAAGTTTGATCCATCAACACATCAACCATGTACCGCTACTCTTTCCTTGTAGCTTCTTTTTCAAAGTCATTTTTAATTTATAATTCTCTCTTATTACTGGCCCAATTTCTAATTCATCTGTTGCTGTTTAGAAATTATTATCTGCGTTAAAATTTTTTAAATGAATTTTGCTGGAAGATTATTTTAATTCATCATTTGAAATTATATTTTGTTTGAATCAATCAATGCAATGGCTTGTTGGTCAAAAACTATATGCAATGTTTTGGAAATTAAGAGGATGGTGGAAAAGTTACTGATACGGCCGAAGCGGCGGCAGAAGCCAGATCTCTTAATTGGTCCCGAAAAATCAGATATTTCTAGGGCCATGACCTTATCCATATTCGCATCATTACTGATGGAAGAGGTATCTGGCACGTGGCACTCTCTGGGAGACTTGACGTCGTTTTCTGAGGATTTGGCTTCATGGCCACGCTGTCATCATCCATGCTTCTCGTGGAAAGTCATAAATGCCCTCCTGCAACTATAACCGAAGAATAACATGTCGTGGAGACCTAAATTTTTGTTTTTCTATTTTTATTCTTAATTTTGAAAAAATAAAATAATTAATTTCTATAATTTTATTAAATTTTATTTTTAATATTTAATATTTTTTAATATTTTTAATGTCTATAATTTTACTAAAATTAGATGACATTTATTATTATTAGGTTTTTGTAGTCTTAATATTTTTAATTCTTATAAACACAAAAAATATTAAAAAAATAAATTGATTAATAAAAAATATAATAAAATTATAAAAATTAATGATTATATTTTTTTAAATTTTTTTAATAAAATTAGTCGGTACATGCACATGTTTTTAAAATTTATTTATAAAAGTGTTAGCTTTCATCTATTAAGCATAGATAACAAAAACGAAACTGCAGCTTTTTTGCGGCTTTTTTTTTTTTGGCATAAATACTATGGAACTATCTGGAATAAATCAGCTTACTGGTTCACCAAATTTAAATTTAAATAAAATAAAAATAAAACCTGCCATATAGATTCAGAAAAAAAAAATTAAGCCATTTTAAAAAAGGAAAAAAATTAAGCGATGAAGGATGACTTTTGGTTGGTTTTAAGATAAGTGCAATATTAATGAGGTTGAATTTAATAAAAAAAATCACATGATAAATCAAGATTTAAATTTAGGTTAAAAGAAGAACTAACATTTAATATTTGATCATATTATCTTCAATGCATGTAATATCCAATTTGTTGTCAGTCAAGTTGAAGAATTTAATAAAAATAGAAGCTGGGGGATTTTTATATATTGGGATATAATTTTCATTTGCTATTGTTATTTAAATATTTATTATTATTATTTATCATTTCTTGTGAACTTATGAATATTATTTTTTTTAGTAAAAAACTTGTGAATATTATCATTCGCTTATAAAATTATCATTATTATTTTATCTTCATTTCCCGAGCATATCAAATGGCGGCAAGCGGTGCCTTCAAAATACATGGCGATCTGGAAAGTGCGAAATTAGGAGGGCATAAAAGTGATTCCACTGCATGCTGTGATGAAAGCAGTCGTTTTAGACTTTTAGTTCGGGATCTTTCTCACCGCGAAGAATCTCTTATCCCCTCGCAATTATCTCATTCCCTTCATCTGGTTTTTCTTTCACAGATCTCTTATGTCGTTAGGTTTCACACCACTTTCAATTGCCACTCCCTCCTGATTTCCATTCCCTTCCTTCGTCTATATTTAAATATCCCGTAATATTTGCTCAAGATTTTCTATACATGTCAATTTGATCATTCGACCGATTCCTCCGCCATTAAGTTCCCGCTTAATTGAATTCCGGACGTTGTTCGTAAAATTACGATTACAATTACAATTAAAACTAATAGGGAAAGCCCCGGGTGGTTACGGGAGCTGCTTCTCGTCTTCTCGAGCTGACCGGTGACTAAATCACTCGTTGACTGTTGCCGTGATTAAACGTGGTGAGTTCCGATCTCTTATAGGTGCGATTTTGGTTTTAAATCAATCCATTTATTATGTAATCAAGCTTCTTATACTATATATTCCCAAATTTGAGGGAGTGGTGGCAGAATAATTTTTGTTTTTGATGCCAGAGGAAACAAATGTTAGCCTCTTCGTATTTTTTATTGGATAGATTTATGATTTCTGAATCTTCACCGATAATCACAAGAAGGACATGGAATTTTCGAATATCATTGTTGTTTTTCCATGTTTATATCTTTCGTTTTTCTTTTCTTTCTTAACTTTGGACTGTGCTCTTCGAGAGGGACCGTATGGATGGGGCGAGAGTATAATCACTACAAAAATTTATAGAATTCAGAATCTATTCGTCCATTTATTTTCTAGGTAACGCGTGCGTATTATGAATTTTCATAAGTTGCCGGTCAAGTTATCTGCAATGCCGTATTTTGTGAATTTTAATTTCCACAGGACTTAAAACGACATCTCTGCTCATCAAGAAATTATGTAGAGCTATTGTCCACTATAATGTTCTTTAGTTCCAAGGCAGTAACATAGTTCTGATCATATTATTCTTCTTGTCGATTTTGAGAAGACAGTATGGGTTCTCTACAAGGACCAGTTTTGTGCCCCTCTATTCGAGCTAAATTAGCAGGATTTTGTAGTCTACCTATGATTGGACCAATAAACCATAGATATCTTAGAAGTGAATTCTGGGGACTCAAGGAGCTCGGCGGCGGCAAAGCAAAGGCAAGAATTCTCTCTTGCCAAGTAAATGTGCGGAAGTGCAAGAGAGTGCACTGTAGTTTCAGCTCGTCCTCCAATGGCAGCGGAAGCATGGCAGAAAATTTTAATGAAAAGGATGAAGATTATGTTAACTCTAGTGTGGTTGAAGCTGGTATGTCATCTCTAAGTTTGCTCATTGTGCTTGTATAAATTTGATTTTACGTAGTGCATTTCGTCTTTATTGCTGTATGCATTGAGCTTATCTTTTATCAGAAGAACAATTTTTTTCTTTGAAGGCTTCTCATCTAAGTTAAAGCAAACTGTATCATTTGCGGTCATGCTCTCATGCTCAGTGAGAGTGTGACAGAAATAAAATATAGCGTCTGAAATATGTTTCTTCTCATAGACTCATTCTTTTTTCTCAGTTAATTATCTTACTGTGGGTTATGCAATTAATTTGTGACCGTTGATTATTAGACTCTAACTATACCCTTCTCCCCTAGCGAAATACCTCTTATTAAGTGGACTTGTTCTGTGATTATGCTTTTCAGTTGAGGTGAAGAGTGGAATTGATGGCTTCATGATCAAAATGAGGGATGGAAGACACTTAAGATGTGTCCATAACAATCCTCATGGAGGACATCTACCAGATTATGCTCCACATCCTGCCATTGTATTAAAGATGGAAGATGGGACTGATCTACTTCTCCCAATAATTGTTTGTATGTCTCTTGTTCTCCCTAATCCCTATATATTATGTATCAAAGAAAAATTGTTCTTGGATCTTTGATCTGATTGTGATGTTAGTTTATATATTTCTGCCATTCTAAATTTATGTTGTATCTTTAACTGTAGTGGAAATGCCTAGTGTGTTACTGATGGCAGCAGTACGCAATGTTCCAATAGTACGTCTTCTTTATCGATTCTACGAGGTTCTGGTTTTATGTAATTTGACAATATGGATATTTACTATTTCTTTGTCTTATCAGGCTAGGCCTACTTTATATCAAGTAGTGAAGGAGATGATTGACAAGATGGGTTATGAAGTATGATTTATTTGGTTTTATGCTCTTTACAGCTCTTTCTGATTTTTTTAATCCCTCCACCAGATTTTTTGTGATGATCAAATAATATTGGTTTCTGCCTCTGCAGGTTAGACTCGTCAGGGTGACTAAAAGAGTTCATGAGGCTTATTTTGCTCAGTTATATCTTACCAAGGCATATACTGACTTTGCACTCTTGGCCGCCCCTTCAGCCTCTCTCTTTTTCCCTCTCCCCCTCTCTCTTAAAATAGAATGCAAAGGAACAAAATGTTTTGTGGCTTATCTAATTATCTTACACTTGGGATAGGTTGGAAATGAGGAAGAATGTATGAGCTTTGACCTTCGACCTTCGGATGCTATCAATATTGCAGTAAGATGCAAGGTAAACTTTGTGGATCTATGCACAAGAAATACATAATCAACTGCAGCATATTTTATCATCGTAGTGCTTTGCTTAATGGTTGTCCCTTTTTCCTTAAAATGATTTTTCATTTGTGCCTTGGTTGATGGTAAAAAATCAGGTACTATCAGAAAAAACTATTTGCCATTTTTCTTTTTTCGTCAATTCATTGTTATGGAGGCAAGTTTCATGTATCCTGGGTGGACTGTTGACTTGTTTTGGAATATCTCACCCATTGTTGAACCCTGACATATCTTGGAATTGGATTATTGCAATGATTTTTACCAAATGTTAAATTCACTTTTTCCTAGTTAAATGAGAATTATCTAATTAAGTTCGAACCTTTCCACTAATGTTGTAGGTGCCGATACAAGTCAACAAATACTTAGCATACAGTGATGGGATGAGAGTAATTGAATCTGGCAAACTCTCTGCCCAGTCCCCTGGTTCAGATGGCCTTTTATTTACTGAACTGGACCGGTAAGAAAGATGCCTTGGAAGGCAAAAAGTTTTCTCTGTAATCCTGATTTAAGGAAATCTTCAATTTCTTGTAATGTCTTTTTCCTGGTAGAATGCAAGTTTTAACTGACAGTAACATTGTTTCAGGCCAAGTGGTCAGCCTTGTACTGAAACTGAGGAGTTTGGTCTTTTGCACAACATGATGCAGGCTGTTGTTGAAGAGCGCTACAAAGATGCTGGTAATTTAATTTTTGTCTATTTTTTAATCTATTGTCTGCAATTCTACCTTCAAATTGGTGGAGTATTTTTGCTCTAGCAGGTAGCATTAATTTGATCTTGCCATTCTTTCGGCTTGGTTTGGAAGGCGGAAAGAGTGAGAAGAAAATAGGGAAGAGAGAAAACTTGAAGGAAAAATTTTGGAAAAACACAATCTTTGGTTCTTATAGTTTCATCATGTTTAGTTTTTTTTAGTGCTTTTAGTTTTCATAGTTTTAAAAGATTGGGTGACTTTTGGTAGAGTCGGTAATTTGAGCCAAGCTCGAGCCCGCCCAAAAAAGTTAGGGCTGGGCTTGTTATATGGTTTTTTTTTAGGCAGGTATGATATTTTAAGCTCGGTCCGAATAAGCCCAACCACTAGAATTTATAGCTCTATATGTATATAGAGTTGTTGTTACTTTTGGCCAAGCCCAATGGGTCAGCCTGAACTTAGCCGAAAAAAATTAGAGCCAGACTTGCTTATATGGGCTTTTTTTAAGGGAGTAAGATATTTTAAGCTTGATCTGAACTCGAATTGAGCCAAACCCAAGTTGCCGGCGCTAACCTTTGTCTTCCAGATTCCTATAGTTTTCATTCTTTTATTAATAGTTTTAGTTTCTATAAGGACTGAAAATACTGAAAAAAATTACATGGATTAAAAGCAAAACCTAATGAAACTTTAGAGACAAAATTATGTTTTCTTGAAAAATTTTCAAAAATAGTAAATTTAAATTTTATTATTATTTTTAAAAGTTTTCCTTTTTAGTTTTTCTGCTTTCCTAATTTTCTGTCCATGCAAATGAATGGTACATGTTGAAGAAATATCATCTTGTAGATATTCCATTTTTCGTAGCCTTGATATAATTTATAACCATTTGGTATCAGCACTTGGATGCCAAACTTGTATTCATTAAAGTGGCATGTATCACAACCGTCAGAAAAAATGCTTTCTCCATGCCTTGATGGGTTTTGTTTTCGTTATGTTCTGTTGTTATGTTCAGTTCTTATAGTTGTGATGTACTGAAACTTGGAAGTCCTATTGTGGGTGGGAATCCATTAATCTAGTCGAAGTGATTCTTCATTAGTACACGTGTTAAATTAGGATGCAAGTCTTGAAGGATTATAGCATTAATCACGTCGTTACAACTTCTTACACCTCGTGTTGCTGATGCTTACTGCAGCTTTGTGGAGGGACAAACTCAACCAATTCAGGGCTGGAAAAAACGTGAATAAAACGTACAAGTCTAGTTCTTTTGCTCCTGCCTTGAACTCTCTTCCTTCCCCCACGGTTACATTAAATCATGTTAACAACTCTTGATTGTTGCAGATACTGGCTTTAATATGTACATACTCCTATACTAGAAAGTGGATGGGATTCGGTACAGCAGACAGCAGTCATATTTTTACCTGCCTTCTCTCACTCAACGCCTGTGAATATTTGTATATATGGGACATTAATGCCAATTTAAACTTATTTATGTATTTTCGTTGTTGGCTTCAATCCTTACGGGCTGTTAATATGCATGTAATGTGAGCCACCCGTGGAGCGCAGCTTCCTGCTTTTCACTGTTCCAATGCCGTATAAATTTAGAAGAATGGCTAGACATGATGCTGCTTAATCAGTTTTTTGTTTCGTATGGTTCGTGTTTAGCCTATATTCACTTCTTGAAAAGCCAAGGGATTTAGTTTTTCTCCATAAATAAACGTGGTTTGGATTTTGGAATGACTCTTTATTTAGGCATTAAGAATTTCGAAGTACTATGTAGTGATTAAGTTCGACCTTCGAATTAAAGTTCTTCTCAGGATATCGTATTCGTACGTGTGCATGTTAGAATTTGGAAGCGGCGAAGTTGACTCGGCTAGTCCTGCGGGAGGATTGAAAAGATATCAAAATCACTTGTTCTTGGTCAGGAATCTATCCGTAAATTGCCTCATGTTGAACTTTTCGGTAATTAAATAGTAAACTGGTTCATTGCTTCTGTCAAAAAAAAAAAAAAAAATGATCCGTCGCTCATTTTGCGTGATTAATGATTATGCGATACTTGGTTCCAAAGGGTGGGGACTATAGCTTGGTAAAAATACTAGGGGTTCTTTAACGGCACCTCGCCCCCTCCACCAAAGCCTACTCCTTTCAGGCAGTAGGTGAACTTATAGAAAGTTAGATCATTTATTTATTTATTTATTCAAGCCTTTTTAGTATCTTATAATTTAAGAAACGCTGGCACACAAAAATTTACAGCACTATATATAATTAGTTGATAATAAAATTAGTGAATACGTGTTATTTTGAAAATTTAATTGAAGAATCAATTAAAATTATAAATTGAAAAAAAGTTATACATAAATTATATATTTTAATTAACAAGAAACTCAATTCCCATACATTACGTGCGAATTTGAAAAGAATTCATTGACAATTTTGTTTATTTAGTATTTAAAATTATTAAGATTTTTCTATCAAAAAATAATAGAAATGTGAAAGAGTTAGCTGGAGCTCCGTCACAAACCGCCACCGACGGCAACTTCCCGCCAACTCAAACTTGACAAAATAGCGCTGTATTCGCTCGGACAACGTGGCTACTTACCCCGCTTATGCAGCATCTAGTTTTAACTTTTAACTCTCCGGACTATTTCTCTCTCTGTTTTTTGTTCCTTCTTTCACTTGTCGTCTTGTCTTTCAGTTTTCTTCTGCCGACATCCCCTCATTTCTCCCTTTACTGTCTCCGTCGCAGTTTGATTATACCTTCAAAGCATGTACGCATGGGCAATACATCGAGGCGATTATCACTGTTATTAAAAAAAATAAAAAAAAGGAAGCAAACGTCATGATTGTAAGTTTCATTTTTTTTTTTTTTGAGCTGTGGCTTAGGTACCTCCCTTTTGACAAATCAACGTGAATTGAGAGGGTTTTGATGCTTCATATATTCTTCGGCTTCGATCTGCACCTGACAATCTCGAAATGTCCGGGCCGCTTGATCGGTTCGCTCGGCCTTGTGAGTAACTCCTCCTCTGACAGATGTTTTTCCCCTTCCATTCTCATTTATTACATTTGATTCCATTGTGCTTTTCCGAATTGTTTATTGTACGTAGTTTTGAATTGAAAGTTTTCTTCTCCATAAGTCATATGTTAATTGATGATATGCATCAAGGAATTCCCATATGATTGTGTTGCGTGCTGCGTCTGGATCGGTGAACTAACTCGCCTGATGCGAATCAAGTGGGATTATGGGGTAAATGAGCTAAATTTAGCTAAACGGTTACTTCGACTATTTAAGCAATTCACGGGATATATTTTGGGATTAAGTTCATCAAAATATCGATCCTCGTGCTTATATGATCTCAAGAATGGATGATGTATGCTGTATGTAGAGTATTGAATGTTTTCTATTTTCATGTCTATCTGGAATAGTGATCACTCTTCTTACTGAACATTGACATAATATGGTTTACTACTACGATTCTGGTGGACTTATTACAAAGAATCTAAATTCCCTGAATATTTGTTAATTTGGTGTTGATTCTGCATTTGCCTCAAATTCTGACCCACAATTGATCTAAAAATGCAATGTAATCTTAATTCGGTAATGGCTTTCTGTAAAGTACTTAAATGACATTATAAGTAAAAGTATATCAAATCTGGATTGATTTTTCAGGCTTTGAAGGGTTCTCAGGTCAAGATGAACGTAGAGAGCGAAAATCAGATTTTGAGAACTCTGAGGATGATAGGCGAACAAGAATTGGTAGTCTGAAAAAGAAGGCAATAAATGCTTCAAGCAGATTCAGACATTCTCTCAAGAAGAAAGGCAGGAAAAAAGGTCCCAGTCGGAGCAATTCTGTTTCTATTGAGGATGTTCGAGATGTTAGGGAGCTCAAGGCAGTGGATGCATTCCGACAAGCACTTTTGTCTGATTCCTTGTTGCCTCCGAAACATGATGACTATCATATGTTGTTGAGGTTACTATCCCTTGTTCCTTGCCATTTATATCAGACATGTGAACAAAAGATGGCAACTCTCCCCCTAATAATGCGTACAGATATTACATTTTCATTTTTGTGTTTGCCTGAGTGGGTTGGCACTACATGGTTAATTCTTAAATTGCTTTTAGTAATACAAGCTGCACTCTGTTTTGATCAGTCATGTGATCAATAATTTCACATAGCTCTATTATGATTTATTACTTATAGATTGGTCCTAATAGCAGGCGCTAGTGTTTCAAACAACATATTGCTTCATTATATTATACTCTCTCTCTCTCTCTCTCTCTCTCTCTCTGTGTCTGTGCATAGTTTTAACGTGCTTTGTAGGCAGGTTGCTGATTTGCTTTATTTTTTAGCTCAAAATTGTAGTTAACAAATGTTATTGCAGATTCCTTAAAGCAAGGAAGTTTGATATAGAAAAAGCAAAGCAAATGTGGGCCAATATGATTCAATGGAGGAAAGAATTTGGTACAGATACAATTATGGAGGTGAGTCATCGGATAGAAAAATCAACCCAGCTGTTTCTTTTGTTTTCTTCTTTCATTCAATCATGTGTTGTTTGATATAGCTGTGGATCCTCAGCATTTATGACATAGATATCTTTATCTCTCTCTGTAGGATTTTGAGTTCAGTGAGTTGAATAAGGTTCTGCTGTCCTATCCACACGGTTACCATGGTGTGGATAAAGAAGGAAAACCTGTTTATATTGAGAGACTAGGCAAAGTTGATCCCAGCAAGCTGATGCAAGAAACTACCTTGGAAAGATATCTAAGATACCATGTTCAAGCCTTTGAGAAAACATTTGCTGTTAAGTTTCCGGCTTGCTCTATCGCTGCAAAGAGACACATAGATTCAAGTACGACAATTTTGGATGTCCAAGGCGTGGTATGATGTCTGTCTAAGTGATGGTTGAAAATCTCCTACGATCCATCTTAAATTGGGTTAGTTAAGACTTTGGTTCACTTTACAATTCGTCTATTTGCTTTCTAGGGTTTCAAGAACCTAACTAGGTCTGCACGAGAACTCATCATGCAACTGCAGAAGATTGATGGTGACTACTATCCAGAAGTAAATAATTTCTATTATAAGAATAATGGTAGTCTCCAATTTTTTGGGTCTTCCGGAGTTACGTCTTGTTATTTATCTCATCAATTCTCTGTGCAGACGTTAAGTCGGATGTTTATAATCAATGCTGGTCCTGGTTTTAAGCTGCTCTGGAATACAGTGAAAACATTTCTTGATCCCAAAACTACTTCAAAGATTCATGTATGTCAATGTGTGAATTGCTTGGTTATTTTTTATATAATTAAGAGTAAGTTTTGTGCAGTATTTCATTGAAGTGATAATTTTCAGCCGTTCATATGGATATGCTGTTACTATGGGATTAATTTATATTTGATGTTCTGCTAGGTTCTTGGCAACAGATTCCAAAGTAAATTACTTGAAATTATTGATGCAAGGTAATTATACATTTATTTCCGATGAAGGAGTAATAGGTCACTCAAATTATCATTTGAAATTTCTGGTTGTCCTTGGAATTTTCAGTGAGCTGCCAGAATTTCTAGGCGGTAGCTGTATTTGTATAGATCAGGGTGGTTGCATGAAGTCCGATAAAGGTCCATGGCAAGATCCAGAAATTTTAAAGGTTTTCTGCTTTTCTTTTTAGCCTGTTTCTTACCCAAAGTGCTCTGGTTTTGCTTTTATCTGACTCAATGAAGGATGCTGCACATGCAGATGATTCTTAACGGTGAAGTGCAAAATTCTAGACAAATAGTAACTGTTTCCAATGACGAGGGCAGGGTGATTGAATGTGATAAGACCTGTTATCCAATGGTCAGGTTTCCAGCACCATCCTGGACGCTGCATGAATGAGAACTCTTTGGATTTGCAAGTTTGAGAACAGTCATAAAATTAATTTGCTCTTCCTTTATTTTTTTGGTTCATGAGAACAGATAAGAAGTAGTGATACATCTACAGCAGAATCAGGATCTGAAGTTGAAGATATCACTTCCCCCAAAGCAAGTGGGAATTACATAAACCCTAGGCTGACACCTGTCCGGGAAGAAGTAAGGGACCATAATTATTTTCTCAGAGTAGTCTAATAAACACTTAGATCGATTTGATGTTGGGATAATCTCAGATTTATTCATGAGTTTTAATTCTTCATTCATGAAAACATTTTTTCTCATCCGGCTAGGGTGGTAAAGATTATGTTTTATATGTCGTTTACTTCTGTATGACATCATTTTGAAAATTTCTATGTATCCTATTTGTAGTAGCAGCATTAACCCACTTGCACTGACTCAGGATTTTCTTTCTTCATTATACTTATATTAATTATTACTGCTTGATATGTGGGCGATTCATTGCATCTAATCCTTAATTTAAAATAGGGTAATTGTGCATTTTTTTTTTCCTGAAATATTTTCTGTGGAGCATCTCACACTTTAAACTATTGCTCGGAGCAATTTTGCTTTTAAAGTAATTAAAATGGAGCATTTTTGCCCTTGTCATTAAATTTCCTAGTGGTTGGAGCCTAGTTGGTAGTCAACATTAGAAATTTTAGGTAAGGATAAACATGCTCCATTTTAATTATTTTAAGGGAAAAATTGCTCCAATCAATAGTTTAGGATGTTGGGTGCTCCTCAAAGAATATTTCAAAGGCAAAAATACACCTTTATCCTTTAAAATATATTTGTAAGCCAGCTATGAGCCGATGACACTGCCAACTATTGAACGAAGATCTAACGTCTGGTTCTAATTTATTTTGCTATCTTGCTATTGCACCGCCAAATCCGATAGGTCATCCCAGTCTCATTTATATTCCCATTTATTTGGTCGCCTTGTGGCCACTTTATATATCATCTTATGGGACAGAACTATCTTAATCTTGAGGTTGCAAAGAACTGTGATAAATTCAATTCAAATACATTGTTTTTGTCCAGGCTAGATTGATCAGTAAAGCTAGTCTTGTTGGAGGCTTCTCTGAGTACGACGAGCATGTCCCCATCGTTGACAAAGCTGTTGATGTTGGGTGGAAGGAGAAGCAAACTACATCTCAAAATTCTTTCAATTCTGTTGGTAGAAATTTAATGCATCTTTCGTGAAGTTATTTCTTTTTTGGTTGGTGTTGATGTGCCATTGTTATTAAGTGAATATTGATACTATTATTCAAGCCTGCATATATTGAATCTTTCTTTTCTGTCAAATGATAGGAAACTCATATATAATCATGCATATATGTTGAATAAGTTCAGACTTGTTCGTTTACCCTGTTCTGGGCATAAAAGAGAAGTAATTTTGTGTATTATTTGTTTGTTGCAGAGACATCTCTATCAAGTATTGAAAAGTCTCCCGAGGGAATTTGCGCTTATATCTGGACTGTTATTAAAGGCTTCTTCGTTGCCCTCTTTACTCTTGCGATTTCATTAGCGTTTCATATCACCAAGAGAAGCCAGGACTCGGAATCTGAGTCTGCTCAGACTATGCGTAATGTGACTACTGAGCCAATATTCAAGGAGGAATCCCGTCCTCCTTCCCCTGTTCCTGGATTCTCGGAGGCTGAGGTCCTCTCGTCTGCCTTAAAACGGCTTCGTGAACTTGAAGAGAAAGTTGACATGCTACAATCAAAACCTAATGCAATGCCATATGAGAAAGAGGAACTGCTGAATGCTGCAGTTTATCGTGTGGATGCATTGGAAGCAGAGTTGATTGCTACAAAGAAGGTAACCCTATTTGATTCTGAAAACATATTTTCTGCCTCAGGCTTGAAAGATAGTAATTATTAGTTCAGTAATTCCTGTTGTTTTATTCGTTCACAAAAAGTATTTGTGCATGCGTCCAATGCTATAGTTAGTAATGAGTCTTCATTATCTCTGAGTTAGTTAATGATGAAGTTTAACTTCAACATTTGCAGCTTTACAGATCTTTGGTAAAGCTTCAAGTATATCTTGTCTATTTGATTATTAATCCTTTAGTTCAAACACTTGCTCACAACCACTATAGCTATTATGGTACGAACTAGATGTCTACCACATTTTTTGGTATTTTACTTCACGATGTTACGATCGTTGCCTACACGGATGTACATGTACTTCTGTGCTATTTCTTTTTTCTTTTTTAATCTCTGGTGCCAAGAGATTAGAAAGCAACCTCGAGTATTTGCTTTGCTGGTTATCTGCTTTCTAAACCATTGTAATCCACTTTTTGGACAGTCTGAGGAACACTGGCCCTTACCTTGCAAATTCCGACTGTAACCCCCATCGTGATTAGCTGTGTGCTAGCGTTCAATACTTTCTGGTGTAGAAATATTTATATATTTTAAACTGGTCTTTTCATCTTCCTGAATAGGCTTTATACGAAGCTTTGATAAAACAAGAGGAACTTCTGGCATACATGGACAGTCAAGAAAGCAAATCCAAAGTAAGCCCTGTATGCATTTGAAAAAAATATATATATTCGATTGTTCTTTAATTCCATGCGTGGAACTCACATGTCCAATTTGTTTGTATGGCAGAGCAAGGTTTGCTGGTGAGAAGAATACTGTACAGGACGGTACAAATTAATGGACATTTTGTGTCTATACTTCTATGCTGGAGCTGCTCAAGAATGTGTCTTGATTTTCGTCGACTGGTAGCTCATGACTCTTCAAAGTTCAGACATTGTATTTTTTGGTGACAACTCGACAGTCATTGGATATAATCTGTATGATTAATCTGGTTGTCTTTTTGTTCGTTTGTTTTCATTATATATGTGATGAAAGTGATATATGAGGCCTTGAGATGTGAACCAACGGGTGACACATTGTATGACGATCCACTTGCACCTGTGCTCTCACAGATCTGTTATGAAAATCAGTTAAACTGTTCAGAAGGTCATTTGCATTACACCGAAACGGCTAAACTTCTTTAGTCATTAATTCGGTAATACCAAGAACAGAAACCATGCTAATCAATTTCCTCTCAGCGACACACTGATACACCACACCTGTAATCCTTCCATTACCGCAAGACGATACCCAAAAAAAAAAAGTATAATTTACCTTTTCTGTTTAAAAATATAAGATATTTCATAAGTGAAAGTGTTGAAAAATGTAAAAGATTTTTGGTATTTTTAAGGTACAATTAATTATATTTTTTTCAAAAATATATTTAATTAGGGTTGTAATTCATAAGGATTTTTAAGTGAAACATCTTATTAAATAAAGATAAACATGCTGTCCAAAAAAAAAAAGATAAACATATGAAGAATGTATAATTTTAAAAGCAATTACTTAATTCATTGGAATGTAATTCAATTAAAAGTATCTTATATTAAATGAAGTTTTAAATAAATAATCTCATTTTAAATGATAACCAATATTGCGTATAAGTTAGAAGGAGAAAAATCATTAAACTATCTCATTTATTATATATACAGTATTTTGTAAGATTGGAGAAATAATATACTTTTCCTTTTATTAGTACCTAAATTGATAATATTTTTTAATGTGCATTAAATGTATTATATTATATTTTTATGATTTTTTTAAGAGGGAAAACTTTCATACTTATCTTTATTCTTTTTTTTTGTTGACCAGTCATACTTATCTTTATTCACTTATTCTATTTTTATTCAATTAAATCGGAATAAGTAAATTTTAAAATATTTATAAAATTTTAGAACGAAATTTAGTAGAGAATAAATAATAATACAAAAAATGTGCATGTCTTGATTAGAAACAAGTATCTTAATCATAGAAGTTTTCTCATTTAAAATGAAAATTATTTCCTGTTACTGCTATTTTCAATATATAATCACTAACCTGTGGCATCACTCGATAAAATTTCCGTTCTCTTTTTATTCTTTTTTTTAATAGCAGATGGGTAGTAAAAAGTACCTAAACCAACCCCATAGAAGCCTTATTAGACAAATCAAAATTAATAAGACCAACAAGATCACTCGAACAAGAAGAAATCAACTGCAATCTAGGCACCACAGTAAGTCCAAGTTTGGCAAGTTAATATGTTGCTCTATTCCATTCACGTCGAACATGTTGCAACTGAATCTCCCAATCACGACTAAGTAGTTGATGAATCTCCAAAAGTAGATCATAATCTTGGTGTTCAATGTTAGATTTTACATGAATCAATCCCACAGCTTTTAGAGAATCTGACTCTAGGACTAATCGTTTGATGCTCGTGGTCCATGCCATTTTAAAACCTATCAAACAAGCTCACAACTTAACAATCAAGCTATTTTCACCCTTCAAACGATAGGTAAAACCATAAATAAATTGCCCATTTGCATTACGTAAAAGCCCACCATATGCAAACTCGACTTTGATAATAGAAGATGCTCTGTCAACATTAGAGCTGTCAATTAGGGTCAACCCGACCCTAAAGGGTCGGCCCTTGAAGGGCCAGGGCCTAAACGGGCTGGCCCTAATAAGCCTGATTGCATATTAAGATTTTATTTTTTAAGGCTCGGCCCTAGCCCTCAGGGCTTCAGCCCTATTTTTTTTAAAATTATTTTTAATTAAAAATTATAAAAAATATATTTATAATCATAAAAAAAGTTATTATTTATAAAATTAAGTTTAAGAAAATAAATTTAAATTAATTTACACCACAACAATAAAGAAAACTAAAACTTTTAGGTCTAATATCAAATAGCAACATTAAAGTGAATATCAATAAAAATTAAACTTAGTTAATATTATCAGCTAAATCTGAATAAATAAATGATGATGATGAATGCATTTAATATGTTCATTTCTTTAAGTTATGTATTTAATCTTTTATTTTTTTATATTATAATTTTTTAAAAAAATTATAAACGGGCCTAAAAGGGCCGGCCCTTTTATTTTCGGGCTTAAAAGGGCCAGCCCTTTTAGGCCCGATTTACCTTTTTAAAGATAAAATAGAAGTCCTGGCCCTCAATTTTTTCAAGGCCTAAAAGGGCCGAGCCTGTAATTGACGGCTCTAGTCAACATTAAGTTTCAACCACCCCTTGTTCGGTGGCTGCCACCGTTTCATGTTAACAGAAACTACCTCAGCACTTAAAGTATGCTTTATCAACTGTCAATTAATTGCCCTAGAAATAGTTGCCATGATTTGAGCGTAAGAGATATCTCATTGAGGCTAACATACTTCCCTTCAAACATATAGATGTTTCGATGCCTCCAGAGACTCCAACAAATGATAGTAAATAGCGCACTCCATTCAAGCTCCTCATTATTCCCCCTCCTTGAGACATTCATCATAAGCCAGTCATGTACTTTAGTATTCATAAAATGATGCCACGTAGATGTGAGAACAATCTTCCTCCATAATTGCTTTACATGGGAACAGTCACGAAGTGCATGAACTATATCCTCTGGGCCATGGTTATATGAGGGACAAGCATCATCCATGCTCAAACTGTAACACACTAATTTTTTTTTAAATAATTTAACTCAACCATAGTTGGGTTACAGCCACCCAACACATTTTATATCAATAATTTCAATATAAAAATATTTTATAATTGGCTTCAACTCGCACAATACAATATTTCAGCTAAATTTTTACCTCCAACACGCCATTAGGCTAAATCACATTTGTCCATCCTTATACTCTCAACAAGTAAATCACATTTGTCCATCCTTATACTCCCAACAAGTAAAGTAACTAATTTAGTCAATTTTTAAAACAAGCCAGTTATTTGGCCTCATAATCATGCCATTTTAACCAATCCAAAGTAAACCAAATATTAAAATTACAGTCATCCAAAATGTACCAAAAATAAAAATAGTTTGAAAGGCATAATTACATTTATATATTCATATAATTGTCAATAAACAAAAAGCCTAATATTGGCAATATAACACATTATAAATCATAAATCAAATACCCAAAAGAGACAGTGGATCTATACCACTAAGCCTCTGGGACTCCTCCACGTGTCACTCGTGGCTCTTCTCCTGAAAATTATTAACCACATAATGAGACTCAAAACTTTCAGTAACCAATACCAATTTATGATAGTGTGTACAAACAGTTAAGTGTGTGCTTATTAAGTGAGAATTAAAAATAATATAATTCTAACAAATATAAGAAATATTACAATACACACAAACAAACCATCCTTATATCCCTCCATTAACCTCGAGCCGTAGCTCTCACTCGTGCTAAATTACCCGGCCAAAAGTAGATTAGCCCAGCCCTTACAAGCCACTTATTGAGCTCCAATAGGGGCGTACCACGTGGCACATAAATACAACAACAATAGCAAGTCTCCTAAGACCTCCCACAATAATCAAACAAATTCATAATAATATTGCACAATTATACAATATTACAAAATTCATAATTTTCTCAATAATCACCCAATTAACATGAAGTAATACTAATCACAAATTAAAAGCATGGTTATTTCTTGGCTTTTTCAATAAATTATTCTTTACAATTTCTCTCCCACTACAATTTTCACCAACAACACAATCTATAAATAACATATTATTTATAAATATTAGTTTCAATTTTTGAAACTAATAAAATAATTCTAATAATAGAATTAAAAATATAACATAATTCCTAATCTCAATCTTAATACAAATCTAGAGTTAATACTATTAAATAAAATTTTTAACTCCTCTTTTACTCATTAATAAACATTAATAATCTAAAAATCAACTTCTAAACTAATTTCTATTATCAAATTTTTTTTTTATTTCATAAATTCATACCTAAAATACTCAAAAATTAAAAATTGAGTCTCTTACTTAGAATCATAATCCTATAGTCATAATAATTCATTTCTCATCCCAAATAATCATCTAAATCTCAGTAAATCAACATATATTTTCAGATCTAATTTAGAATTTGATCCATAAGCCACAAATTCAAAGATCATCAATAAATTTATACTCTAGAACATTTATTATACTACTAACAACCTCAAAAACCATATTTATTCAACATAAATTTATCCCTCTTCCAAATCTTAAATTTTTTACCACCATAAAATCAGAAACCAAAGAGGAAGGCTGACTAAGAAAAATTTTAGAACACTTACTTAGTCTTGAAAAGCTTGAAATCACACCCTAAATATCCTATTAAAAACTCTTACCTTAAAAATTCAGATCTTTCGCACCGGCGACTCACGCTCACAGACGCTTTCTCTCTGCCTCAGCTCGCGCACAGGGAAGAATGAAGAAACGAAGGAAACAGGTGAGTTTTTATAAAAATTCAGTGGGTCTCACACATTTTTTTATTATTATTTCTTCTTTCCTCTCTCTTCTTTTTTTTTTATTATTTTATACACATGATGCATGCGGCGGCTGAAAGTCTTTTGTTCTCCTCTTCTTTTTTTTAATTTATTAATATATATATATTTATACATTACACTGTGCAAGCAAAATGTCCACCTCCTCATTTTTTTATTTATTTTTTTAATTCCTATATATATTTCATTTCTCAATCTCTCTCTCTATTATATTTCTCTTTCTTCTTTCCTAATGATAATAATTTTTAAAATCTTAACTTAGAATTATATCCTAAGTTAGATCTAATAATCATCTCCTACTAATTTATTTACCTCTAAATATTTTTTAAAATTTTTATTAACCCAAATTAACTATTAAAATTTAAATTGGGATGTTAGACAAACCATGTTTCTTCCTCATATAATTGGTGAGAAGACTACCATGATAGGCCAACCAAAGAAAGGATTGATGTCATTGCGGGGCTTTAATCTTTTAAATTTTCTCCCACCCACTATTTAAATGCTGAGCATTATTCGAGATCATGTTATAAGCTAATTTGATAAAAAAACAACCCATTCTTCTCCCCACACCATCAAACAGTCTCCCCATTATTAACACGTTCTAACCTTGCTTCAACCTTATCCCAACTTGTTTTAATACCCACCCAAACATTGAAACCAGGTCATTTAGCATCAATTTTGGAAATTAAGTCATCCCCACAACAGTATTTATCTCTAACCACTTTGACTCAAAACTCATCATATTTCTTACAAAGACTCCAACCAAGCTTCATAAGAAAAGCAAAATTCCAATTCCTAACATGACGAAGCTCAAGCCCACCTTGCCTCTTAGGCTTACACACCTCATCCCAAGCCACCAAGTCTACTTCCTGCTGTTCATTAGAGCTTCCCCACAAAAAGTCTCAATTACACCTATCCAAAGCCTTACAAGTACTATTAGGGAGCAGAGAAGTTTGCATAACATGTCCCAAAATAGCCGGGGTAATAGACAAGACCAAAGTGGTGCACCCGGCAAACAAAAGAGAACTAGGCCACCATCTAAAAAGCCTTGTCTTCACTATGTCAATAGTATCTTGAAAGTTCATCTTATTAACTCATTTATGCAAAAGAGGAACCTCAACATATTGCCCCAAATCCACACCATTCTCTTTGCATTCTGACAGCGTGTATTTTATGATTTTCCCCCCAACAAACATAGATCTGAAATTAAATTTCAGCTTATACGGCAAAAATAATAAAGGAGCTATTAAATGCGTGATGAGGAAGAAGAATCTATTGATCATCTTTCTCGCATCCTCTCTCATTCCGAAATCAGAAGAAGTTGCGCAACATGGACTGGTGGCATGGTTGAAACGATGGTTATCAAAGCTAGGCATTAGGAATATGACATGGGTACGTCACACTGAGGAACTTTTGTTGATTCTTTTTATCGTAAGGGAAGCAAGAAATGAGGTTGTTCATGGAAAAGGAGATAAGCTAAGAATCACCAGGCAGCAGTGAAGTGTGAAGAGATCGAGTTATTGTAGGTTCTTGAATGCTTTCAAGTTTCAATCAATACCTCAGCAGGAGATTCTTCGGTCCTGGTTTGAGAAAGTAATTCGTTAGGGTTCACTAGATTCATCAGAGGGGGCTGGATTATGATGGTATGGTTTCTTATGTTCAAAAGGCAGCGGGAAATTCGTATGAATAAACGTTTCGAATCTCTGCACTAGTTGCTTGAGACTGATCCTTCTGAATATTTTGAATTCTGCTGCTTTATAGCAAAATATTCAGGTGGGAAGATCCCATTCAAGCACGGTTTCGTTTCTTCAAATCATGGCCTCAAGGTCCTGTTTTCCGATTTTGCTAGGCTAAGAGCCAGCAGGTATTGTTCATCAAGGTCTGTATGATATTAATAGGTTATTTAATTAGTTCCCTGTCACGGTCTAGTATCACTTTTCGCATGTAACGCGTGCACATTGATTGACTTGTCCAAAAAAATCGCAATGAGCCTGTTGATGAGCTGCTTATAACTGAATTTCACGATCCGCTTTTTCTTTTCCTTAACCGACTGTACCATAATTAAAATTGAGTTTAAATTCGTCTTACTTGTAAGAAAATTTGCTTAATTATATTTATTTATTTTTAAATAATCTAACTTATGACATTATGAAATAGTTAAAATTTATATACTTAATATTGTATACCTCTTTTAAATTATATTAAGACATGTAAATTTTTTGTATATTAGTATTTATATTGGCTTATGATAAATTCTAATTATTGATATTATTAATAGTTTAAACTTTGCTTATTTTAATTTAATTAGATAAAATTATATTAAATATAAAAGACTGAGTAGTCAACAATATTTTTAAAAACTTAATAAATGATAGAGCACAATAATGTCATATAATTTATGTAACCTACCTTACCTAATGAGATAAGACTTGTTATTATTGTATAAAAGATTGAGTAGTTAAATCTTCCTTATTGAATTTATCCAACTGAACCCAACCATTCTAGATAATCGAATTTGGGTTCAATAAGTATTTTCTATGACATAATAACAATTGTTTAATTTAATTAAACTGTTATAAAAATTTTTGTTATATGATATTTACTTCGTTTAAAAATATAAGACATTTTTTGATGCTATTTTTTTAAAGTGTAATTATTATTTTTTTTTTAAAGTTTTCATATTGATAAATAATTTTATATTTATTATAGGATATTTAATAAAAGTAAATATAAAAAAGAAAGTTAGTTTAAAAATAAGTAACTATTTTATTGAGAAGTGAGATTTGATTAAAAATGTCATATATTTTTTAATAAAAAAAGCTTACAAAACGTATTAAATCTCAAATTTTAAAAGCAATGACATACGTGGTGAATGTTTTGACTGCAATGGTTATTTTTAAATTTTAGATGGAAATATATCTTGACAATTTTTAAATATTGATCAAACCACCTACTAAATTTAATATACATATACACACACATATATATACATACACACATATATATATTGTTTGTTAGAGAATCCTCAACCATCACGTCACTTGCTTTTATAATCAGTCGCACCCCACCCTTTCAAATATGTGCGGGATGAAAATCAAGCTATATATACAAAATTGTACGTAAAGATTTAAAAATAATAGTGCTTGAAAACATAATAATGAATATACAATGAAAATATAGTATATTTGATTTCAATTATACATACAATAATTATATGAAAATCATGATAACTGGAAATTAATATAAAAATTCACTTGAAATGTACTTATTCATTATTCATAGATGCACAACTGCAGATCCTATTTTATTTCATGATATTTAATCTTATTATACAGAAAATAATATTCAGCAGGTTGAGAAATTAAATGGCTAGGGTGAAAGATTGGAGGGAGTGGAGCAGCGGTTTTGAAGGAGGCTACGATGACGAGGCACGTTATTATTCAACACACGACTTCGTACTTTCCAGTTGCGTCCTAATCGCATTCAACCTCGTCAAGTTTCTTCCTTGTTATTGTTAGGCCATCATCATCGTCAAATTCCTCCACGAAAATCGGCCACTCTTCTAATCAAAAATTACAAAAAATTAAAAAAGCAATGCCAGAACCTAATTATTACGGCCACCCATGATGTTTTATTCACACGACATGGACCCGTTGATGTTGCTCCTGAGCCCTACCATACCATGGGAAGGATTTGGTTGGTCAATCATCCCATTAGATTTTTGTAATGGACGAAAAATTAATTTAAAAATTCTATAATCTATTAGAGCATGTAAATAAAATTCTATTAAACAAAATTACATAAAATATGTAAAATGTTAAATATTTCAAAACTACGTGAAACCTGAGTGTAGTCATTATTGGATAACTATGTACTCCTCCCATGCAAGAATGTGAGTCATTTTTTGAGGGTTAGATGTTAAAAAATATGAGGCATTTTTAATCTTTTGAGATATAATTATTATTTTTTTATAAATGCCTCCATCAATGAATGGCTTTATATTTATTATAGGATGTTTAATACAGATAAATATAAAAAGATATGGTTAGTTTGAAAATAGATAATTACTTTATTGGAGGGTGAGATTCAATTAAAAATACATTATATTTTTTAACAGAGGGAGTAATTTTTTATACACTTTATATTTGTATTAATTGTTATTAATATTATTAAAATCGATGATTTGGAAGTTATACTTCTTTTTGTTAAAAAAAAATAATTTTTCCAGCCATGCGAGATTTAAACCGTGAACTGATACGTGCCATTCTTATGTGGCTAATCATATCATCAATCGTGCATGATGTATCCGTACCTCATTTTATAGCAAGTTACACCACCTCCTCTAGTTCTAAATTGCTGGTTGATCGCCCTAAATTTTAATCAACACTTGTTTTTATCAATATTATAAAATGAAAGGAAAATAAAATTAGTAGAAGGTCATCATTCTCCTATTTATTAGAATTCATTGCCAATGATAAATCTCATATTTCTGGTTCATTTTCACGAGACCCACTCTAATTTTAAATTACAAGTTGATGGATCATCCAAAATATCAACAAAACTGTTTTCTATTTTTAGCTATATTATCTGCGAAGGAGAAATGTTTGAATATTTTCAAATTCACTGAAAAAATAGGAGAAATTAATTGATAATTAATTAAGTAATAAAAACAATTGATGCAGGACTATATAATTAGAAATTAAATAATTAAAAAAATGCTATAATTTTGCTCTGACCCTCGACGCATGCAACAAATACTAACGTGGATAAATGCAACTATTCATGGCAATACTATTTTAAATGAAAAAAATTAATAAGATATGTTTCAACCATTTAAAAATGTAAGATATTTTTTGTGAGATTAAATATTTAAAAATATAAAGTATTTTTATTTTTAATTTTTTAAACATAATTATTATTATTATTTTTAAGTATCTAAATTATTTTATATTTATTTTATAATGAGACATTATATTAAATAAAGATAAGTATAAAAAATAAAATTAATTTAAAGATAAATAATTATTTTATTATAATAAAATTTAATTAAAAATATTTTATATTTTAAAAGGAAGTAGTCATTATTCATCAGTGACATTTCTTGCGGAGTGCGTACGTAAACATAAAAGGGCATAAAATAATATAGCAATATTATTTTTATAGCAATATTATTTTAAATGAAAAAATTATAGCCCCATTATGGGAGAAGATTTCGGTTTCGGTTTCTCTCCGGACGTCATGGAATTGCGTTGCTACTGCCGACTGAGGAGAAAACAGAGTGATCTGTGAGACTTGCCAGGTTTCTCGTGACGGCTCGCATGCCAAGTTGCGAACGGATCTCACTGTCACATACTTCATCATCCTTCCTTCCCTTTCAACTTCAAGCGGCCTCACCCTCCGCGCTTTTTATTTTTTTGTCTCTCACACGTCGCTTTCTTCCTCTTCAACAGAGTAGAGTACTAGGAAGAAATCTGGCCGTTTTAGGCGCCCTTCATCTAGTTCTGCTTCCTCCCTTTCTGGCCTAATTCGTCTCTCGAAGGTTTGGAGGTTTTAGCTTCTCACCAAACTCCGCGGTGGTACAATTGAATACCGAAGATACACTAACTCTCTGTTGTAAGTTCCTGGTTAGGCACTGTAGGATTTTGATCCTGCGGTTAACTCAACAATGGATTCTGCTTGCGCAATTCTGAATGCCAATGCCAGTCTGATCAAGGCCAGCGAGGCAGTCCGCTGTAAAACAGGTACTCGTACTGGGTTCTGGGGTGAGACTACAAGGGGAAGCCTGAGTTCCAGACTTTCATCTTTTCAATTCCAGAATAGTTCAAACCCCGATATGAATGGTCGAAAGTTCAAGCGTGGCGTTGCGCACTCTGTTCTCACACCAGACATCAACAAAGAGGCTGTGGTACGAAAAAGAAAGCTAAATGCCATATTTTCTTTGAAATGATTGAGATCACTTTTCTGTTTTTGAGTTTTAAATCCGATGGCAGCGCCAAAGCTGAAGTATTTGTGTTATTGTTTTAAGTATTACTGTTGCATTTCCGTTTCGGGTGTACCAGGCACCCAAAGTCGAGACTCCAGAAGCAGACCCAAAAAATGTAGCCTCCATCATATTGGGTGGAGGTGCTGGAACTCGCCTTTTTCCTCTTACAAGCAGAAGAGCCAAGCCAGCGGTATGATATTTTGTTTTGTTTTGTTTTTGTTTTCCCTACTAAACTGAATCAATGATTAAATGTTTCGATTCAGCATAAATGGATGCAACAACGTCCCGAGTTCTAATAATTGGAATCATTTTATGCGAAGTTTGACTTTGAATTAAATTCTCAGTTATCAATAGCTTTTGCCTGCTGGCAGGTTCCAATTGGAGGGTGTTACAGACTTATAGATATCCCGATGAGCAATTGCATCAACAGTGGCATAAGAAAGATATTCATTTTAACGCAGTTCAACTCTTTCTCCCTTAATCGCCACTTGTCTCGCACTTACGGCAATGGCGTTAAGTTTGGAGATGATTTTGTGGAGGTAATTTTATTTGGCACACGAAAGTTTCTTCGACTTCCTATGTGGCAGAATTGACAATATTTTATAGAAGCAAATAGAAAAATAAGGGAGACTTGTTGTCCTACAGCGAGGACATTTTAGCGGGAATTATAAATTAGATGAATCCTAAAGAGTATAATTTATCTGACATCACATCAGGTCCTGGCTGCTACTCAAACACCTGGAGAAGCAGGGAAGAAATGGTTCCAAGGGACAGCTGATGCCGTGAGGCAATTTATATGGGTTTTTGAGGTAAGAACTAGTGAATCAACGATGTTTGCATATATGTCGAAGATATTGTATCGATAGAGTAAATGAGTGTCAGGATTAATTTGTAGGATGCCAAGAATAAGAATGTTGAGCATATATTGATACTTTCTGGCGATCATCTTTACCGAATGAACTATATGGACTTTGTGCAGGTAAGAGTGAGATAATTTATTGTCAAAGATCAATCTAAATAATAGTTGTAGTTTTCTATTATTCATGCTGAGTGTTGAAAACTGTACTTGCAGAAACATATAGACACAAATGCTGATATCACAGTGTCGTGTGTACCTATGGATGACAGGTGCATGCGAAACCTGATGCGCACTTCATGTGATTTGGTTTGATCTTCTTACAATGGAGGCATGCTGCCTCATTTTTTGAGGCAGAAGTTTCATTGATAATAGATCGTCATGATGTTTTTGAAGTTGATCAGTCTTAGTTCTTTTACAGCCGTGCTTCAGATTATGGGCTGATGAAAATTGATCCGGCAGGAAGAGTTATTCAGTTTGCAGAGAAACCCAAGGGCTCAAATCTGAAGGCAATGGTAAATATACTGTTCCTCACATTCACTGCGTCTTTTTTAGCACTAAAGCCATATTGGGACTTAATTACTCAGTTTTCTGCCCAACGAAGCTGATGCATTGTCACATTTAATAACTGCAGCGGGTGGACACCACCCTCCTAGGATTATCTGCACAAGAAGCAGAAAAATATCCTTACATTGCATCGATGGGTATTTATGTCTTCAGAACTGAGACCTTACTGAAACTATTGAAATGGAGCTTTCCTTTATGCAATGACTTCGGATCTGAAATTATTCCTTCTGCTGTGAATGAGCACAATGTCCAAGTGAGACGAACCTCCAATCATGAACTTGATGCCTATATTTCTCTTATTTTAAATCACTGAATGGTCTAGAAAATGGATTACTTTAGATTAACCGGTAACACTTGATGCTTCTGATGTTACTGACATTCTCAGGCATTTTTGTTTAATGACTATTGGGAAGACATTGGAACTATAAAGTCCTTCTTCGATGCTAATCTGGCCCTAACAGAACAGGTTGGTTTAACTATTCTGTGAACTGTTATTTCTCTTGGTTGATACCAGAAGGTTTGTTTCGATTGACTATGTTGTTACTTGGTCATTTTATAAAGTGGTGGGATATTTTAATGGTAAAAATTATAGGGAGAATGAAAAATAAAGTCCTCACAAGAAAATTTATATCAAGTCAGAATCTCTTCACAACTAAAACTCTCAAATTCAATACTCCTTCTCCTATGTTTCAATACCAAAACCTTAAAAAAATCTCAAGTTGGCATTAATCTTCTTATGAGGTCCTGACTTGTTATTTCCCCCTAATTTTTTTATAATTTGGTTGTTGGTGTAATTCATTTTTTGAAGAAATGAAAACCTGTCACAGACTAGGAAGAGTTTCTTATGTTGCTTCAGATCTTGGGAATCAGTCAAAATACAGAAGAATTATAGTAACAAGAAGCCTAGAACATGAAGATATCATTGATAATCATGGATTGATAATGTTTTTTAGAATAATAATACTATAATGGACACGTTTTCTTGCGCTGAGAAAAATTTAGCATATTTACTGATCACAAATGCTATTATATGTAGCCTCCCAAGTTTGAATTTTATGATCCAAAGACGCCTTTCTTCACTTCTCCAAGATTCCTACCACCCTCTAAAGTTGAAAATTGCAAGGTATTACGAAGTTGATGACAAGCTTCAATCAGTTTGTTTATTTGGCATTTTTGTTGCTCATGACTTCTCAACTGGTGTTCACAGATTGTGAATGCAATTATTTCTCACGGCTGCTTCTTGAGGGACTGTAGTGTTCAACATTCTGTAGTTGGTGTGCGCTCACGTTTAGAATCTGCTGTAGAACTTCAGGTAAGCTAAGTGCATTCTGTGCTTTGCTCCGTCCCTCCTTTTGGACTGCCTCTCTCTCTCTCTCTACTTCTGGGGGGATTACGTTGAGGCATTACATCCTTGGAGCTTTCTCTCAGAAGCTGGCTATATCAGCATGTCACAACTAATTTGAAGGAAGATTTGTGTCATTCAACATATAATGATTGGGACAAAGCTGGGTTTGTATTAACCTTGATTAACAGTTTCAATATCCCATTTTGTTGTTAGTTTCCCCTGTAGTCTTTTGGTGTCGCTCTGGGTAAATCTGCATGTTACGGGTTTGAAACCTTGTAACTCTTCCATATATTCATGGCTTATGAATGCTATAGCTTTAATATGAATAATGATCCCACTTGAAAGATTTTTGGAATTTTAAATTCAGTTTTCCTTCTTTTTTGGTCATGAAAAAAGTAAGAGTACACAAGATTATTGAACGGGAATGGAATTTTGGTCAAATTGTTGTGCAAATTCAATGAGATTACTTCTAGTGGCCTTCTTTACAGATAGGGTGGCTTACCCTAGTATCTTCTTGAGTTGACACATTTTCATCATTGTATTGTGTTTTTTAGCACCTCAGATGGATTTTTGATTTCGGCTTTGCTGTCCAGGATACCATGATGATGGGTGCAGACTACTATCAAACCGAGTCTGAAATTGCATCTCAGTTGGCAAAAGGGAAGGTTCCAATTGGTGTTGGAGAGAACACTAAAATCAGGTGCGATTATATCTCTATAATAACCCCGTCATTCCTCATGTCTCGATTCTTTATTTAACAGTCCAAGGCATGCACGCATATTTGCGTGTTAAGATTAGATGAATTGCTATCCTTCATTTATATAAGCTAATTTCTTAATTTAACATTCTTAAAGGAATTGTATTATCGACAAGAATGCCCGGATCGGAAGAAATGTAATTATTGCAAATGGGGATGTAAGTTTAAAGCTTGCTTGTGAAACTACCAATCAATATTAGAATTTTGTTGCCAATCCTTCCCTGATTATTTAAATATATTGACTTTTCAGGGAGTTAAAGAAGCCGACAGGACTAAGGAAGGATTTTACATTAGGTCGAGCATCACAGTCATACTCAAGAACGCAACAATAAAAGATGGAACAGTCATATAACTCATCCAGAGGCGTCTTCACTGGATGATCAGATGACTGAAGCTTCTGCGTTTAATTAATTTGCTGATATAAATCTAGGAAGCAGCAACAAGAACATATAACAAATTTTCTCACTTGTATATTACGATTTACGTTACAGGAAAGAACTTTCTAGTTGCTTACTATAATAATAAATTCTTTTGCCTTACTTCTACGAGATTTCACATACTAGTAACACACGGTTATATTAGACTCTTCTTGAGGAGATGAAGCAAATCATGCAGGCACCTCCATTTGCACTAATAACTGAGCTTATAATAATGTCGGTAAAATGGCAAGTTTTGTTACCCCAGGCAAGTCTTGTTATCTCAATTTCCACCATTAGCACCATCGCGCCACTGTGCACCTCTACTACTATCTTTTGCTTCATTCCACTTCTTGATGTCTTCGAGTCGCGCGAACATCTTTCGAATTCGATTAAGCTTTTGAGACTCTTGAGCAATCAAACTGGCTGTTGAGGGACTCTCACCTAAGACTACCTCATAGCCATCTCGAAAAGAATCCATTCCTTCAGCTAGTAGTTGCCAAAATAAGCCTCCAACAGCAGCCCCACCACCGCTTGCCGATGAATAGATCGCAGAGTACACATCGTTGAAGAGCTCGTCCCTGCCCTTTGAGTTTGAACCCAAATTCTTAGTTGATATTCCAAACTCAGCAAACAAAAGTGGCTTGTGAAGAGTGTTCTGTGCATCCTTGATATGTTCGTTGAGCCACCCATTCAAGAACGAGAGTTGGTCTTCATAACCTGAACCTGAGAGCCTGCTCATGCAAAATAATTGTTACTATGAGTGGTATTAACTTATTCCTGAAAAAAACAACGGTGACAATCAGCAATGTCATTGTCATCCTCACCATTGATCAGGGTATGAGTGAACTGTAGCAAAATCAATGCCAGGGATCTGGTTATTTGCTATGAAATCTGTCCCTACTTGGAAGTTGGGATTAGACTGCTGCTTTGATTGGCCATAGAAACCCTCTAGACCAGCTTCAAGCAAGTGGTTTCCATCAATGGATTTCAAATAAGACGCCATCTCGGTAATCCAAGCCTGTGCAGAGACCAGAGGAAGGAAATTAAGATTCAACTTTATTTATCTTTTTCGCAGCCATTTGGAAATCCAAGTTCGTCACTAAATATGAAAATGGAAAGCAGAAGTGGAAGAATGGGCTACCTGTACTACTTTTCCCTTTTGATCTGAAGGACACCTTATCTCATTCATGAGCTCCCACGCCATTATAGTTGGGTCATCTTTGTAAGCAACTCCAGTGATGCTGTTACGCCTAGTGAGTACAGTCTGCAATAGATAAAAGCTCCGATATCAGAAGCAACTTAAAGCTTACACAATTATATGAAGTATGAAGTTCCTTCTGTAACATATAGATCAATTCTCATTAAGAATCATTTAGTCTACACAAGCCACACGTACCAAGTTTATGCAATATCATCTACTTGATCCTTTTTACCTTTTCTATAGTTCCCCCTAATCCAAGCACTGTAATTTTCGCAGGCATTGTGAAGGGATTATAGTAATAAAAACAAATTTAAAAGAGTTACCTTGATGTGGTTTTTGTAGTATCCCTTCACTACAGGGTTAGTGAAGAAATCATCTTCAGAATTAACGGACTGGCCCTGATTCCTTGCCCAAGCCACGTACTGCTTCTTTCCTCCCAAGTTGTCGTAGTTATTCACCAAACTCAACACCAGCTTAATCCCATATCTTCTGGCTTCGGATATTACGAAGTCTAACCCCTTTCATTTTCAATCCATTAAACATTAATTAAAGCAGACAAAAATCAAAATCAGCAATATAGCGAAATAAAATTAAAATACGGCCGTTATCATACCGCATGAAGCTAAAAGGAAATAGAGATTTCAAGAAAATGAAGATCAAGATAGACCTGGAACATATCCTCATTGTAGGATCCAGGAGAGTATTGGAGCGGCTTATAGCCACCATCACTGAAAGCCCAAGTTCTGGCTATGCTAAGTCCGTGGCTCTTAGCCTCTTGAAATGCAGATGAAACTTTGTTCCTTTGAGACGGATCCGAGGCCACGTACATGAACCAGTAGGCATTAAACCCATTAGCATAGAAGGGGCTCCCATTCAACATTAGCTGTACACCTTTTGTCTTCACAAACCCATCATCTGCTCTGACTAAGATTCTCTGTTCTAATATCGCAAACAGAGCAATGAAACCCAGAAAGAAGGAACACTCCATCATTCTGCTCTCCCTCTCCCTCTGCGTGTGTGTGTGATGCAGTATAGGATGGTAGCCTTGAGTTTGAAACTTGATCAAACAAAGAACCTGTGACTGTTTATATGGTGGGGGAGTGCATCGGGTACCAGAATCTCACTCACAGGGATTAATGGTGATAAGCGATCGAGTTAGCAGAGAAGTACTGTGTGGGCATTGGAGTTATGCAAGAGGAGAGGGGCAGCTACGTCCAAAGTGATGGAAGGTGGGCCTGATGAACACAAGTAGGAATGGAGAAACCAGAAGCTTCACTCATTCACGGCAACGTGGGGCCACATGTTGTAAGATGTAACCCCTTTTTAGGGTGAGATCAACTAAAAACCAGAACCGTGTGTGAATGAGTGGTTGCAAACTCGCTTCAATTTGCCTTTTCCTGATGGAAAATATTATCAGTAATAAGGTTGCACTGTTGTGTTCAAAAATTGTGGGGTAGGACTTTTGGATTGAGTTAGTGCCAGTAGCTGAGAATTCAAGGTTTCGGGTGGAAGTGGATTCTCATATTATATTAGTCTTGTTAAGAATGCAGTTCAGTCTCTCAACCCATGAAATATCTGATCAATTTGATTAACTGCGCTTTCAATCATGGCGTTGGAGAAGTGACAAATTAGTAAATTGGTTAGTAAATCAAACGAATAACATAGACACAGCCAAATAATCTTGTAGCCCAGTGCATTAAAACTCCCTTTAAGTAGGAGGTGGTGGGTTTAATCTTTCTTATAATCTCAAAACATATATGGAAATTAATTTTCATTTCAACAACTTCTTCTTTTGCCATGCACAACTTCTTGATGTATTGCACTTTCATAGGTGATATTTTTATTGTTCATTTTTTTCGTATAGGTGATGGTTATTCTAGTTTTTCCAGTCCCTTTTCTTGTAAGAAATATAGGAAAAGTACTATACTACTGCCTTGCTATGGAATACATGTAGATTTTTTTTTTTAAGAAGTTACAAGTTTTTTTTTTGAAAGATATATCGAAGGAAAAAAAAATGTTATGTGATTCGATTTAGATCGTGTTCGGATCTAGGGCAAAAATTGACTACTGTGAGAGCCTGCGTTTTCGTTGTTTTCATCGCGGAATCAAACACCACTTCCGCATGAAAGAGAGTGAAGCACTAATTAAGTGCAAGTTACTGTTTTTCTGTAGGTGCTGAAGAAATATTTATTTTAGAAATTAGAAGCAATTTGTTACTTCTGGCATAATGTAATCTTGAAATTTGTGGATGCAAAACACACACTAATAAATTGGGGAGATTTTCTTTTTTGGCCGCTGCATCAATTGCAGACTGAAAATCCAAGTTCAAAAGGGGCAGTCACGCGCGGCGCAACGCGTATTTAGTTTCAACTGCAACCAACCAGCGTAACCCAGATATGAATAAAAATGAAAAAAGGGTCAAGCGTGCTCAAGAAATGCTTCAATCGCGGCGAAATTACGGAGTTAGAATGCCTTCTCAAGTGGGACAGAGATCTCATTCCTTGCCTTTGGTTATTCTTAATTTGAATTCGAGTCAATCGGAATGAGAGCCTTTCACTGATTTTAGACTTCGCAACCATTACAAGGACAATATAATTTGTGACATCTTAGTGAATCTGATCCCTTAATTCAGTGATTTACAAAGCGGACAAACGAAAGATTCAGAGGTGCAATCGAGGACTACGTATGGAATAAAGTGACCGTGAAAAGGATGGCAGACATGAGTGACCTTATTTCACGGGGAGAGCGTCAACGCCTGACCTAACACATAGATAATTACTTTCATGCCCCCCAAATCCAATAGCCGTGCCTCTCATTTAATCAAATTCCGTTCATATGGTTTTGCTCTCTTGATGCTCTGTATATCCGCCATTTTGTTTTCATTTTCCTTCACCAATCGTAAGAAGGTGAAATATATTGAAGAATCAAATGGAAGTATGCGGTTTGAACTTTGGATACTTGAACGTTACTCTCTTCGCAATCAGAGTAATGTATTGGTCATTGATACCTTGTGCATCTCTCTTCTTTGAAGATGCACAAGGTATGGTGTCCCTTTCTACGCAAAAATCACCCATTGTTCTACAGGCCTCTGACTCGATTTCTGAAAACAATCCCCGACATGATAGCCAGCATTGATTTCCTTTAGCAACGTGATATTTCTATCTCAAATTGTTAGGTTTTAGCATATCGAACTTTCTACAAGATCATCTCTTCCGTTATAAAGGCAGTAATATTCTTGCTATGAAAATTTTTGTTAATTGGTCTTCTATTAGCGGCGACGAAATAATTACTCGCAGAAGACAAAAGTGAGCTGTTTATGTTCTATCAACACTGCAGAGCAACAATATATAAGTGTGCTATTGCACGCAGAATACCAAAATTTGGTGAAAATTAAAATCCCTCGTGATGGCTTTTTAAGTCAAGAGGGACAGGGCCTCGTGATGTTGTGTTAGGGTGAAGGAGACGAGAGAAGATGAGACTGACGACTCATTAAAATTTCGAGGCAATGCATGTGACTTTTAATCTACAAATCCCGTGCCCACTCGTGCTATGTCTTCTTTTCGGGTTCCGTCTCCGTTATATAATATCATACTTTAGATTTAGCTACGTTTTTTTGGATTTATTTAAGATTAAAAAAATAAATTAAATAAATTATTTTTTTAGATAGTTTTGAGATTTTACAAAAATATAAGTATTTTATAAAAAAAACATTATTTTCTACTGGGTTAAGAAAAATCTTTCCCTCAACTATTAACTTAAAAGTGATTGGTATTTTAAACTTTTATATGATGCAATTTTGTCCTTTAACATTTGAAAATTATACACTAAACACCTAACTATTAAAAAAAATTAACTTTGACCATTAGTTAACATAAAAAATACAAAAAATGATGTTAAAAATAGAAAAAAAATTGTAAAATTATACATAAGTACCCCATAAAAAATGAAAATAAATTAAGTTTCATAAATTACATATAAATAATATGATACAAGTGTTATTTCTTGCCCACATAAAAAGTCAAAATACAATTTTAACCAACCATTATTTAAGGATATAATCGATATTGATTTTTTTAGGATATTTATTTGTAATTTTGAGTTCTTTTTTGAATATTTTAGGTCCCTTTTTTAATTTTTGTAGTTAAATATCAATCAATTTAATATTTTTAACAATGAGGTGTCCAATGCACTATTTTTAAATGTTAAAAGGCAACATTGCACAATAAAAAGTTTAGAATATCATATGCTTTTAAATGAATAGTTAAAAGATGCTATTTAACATTTTTAAGCTTGGTTGCAATACTAAAAATAAAAAATTTATTACTGGTTAATTACTTTTAAATTTTATGATATATTTATAAATTTTTATTTTATAAATATGATGTATTATTTAATTGTTTTAAAACATTATGATATCTAGAGGTGGAGAGAGAGAGGATTGGTGGGGGTCACGACTTTCTAACTTTTTAATTTTTTCTTTGTAAAATGTAAGGGTTATATATTTTGGCTCCCTTAAGTTGGCATATTATTAAAATTATGAAATAATAGATAAAATTCTCATTTTAATTTTATATGTAGTCTCTTACATATGTATAGAGCAAATATTTTAATAGATTAAAATATAGTTATCATATGATCTACTCATTTTCAACAAGATAATCCCATGCTTGCTCTTAAAGTATTGATGTTATTTTATTTTGTTTTTATTTTGTATTTAATAAAAGAAATTGTGAAAATTATTATTAACAAACTTTATTAAGTATTGCAACAAAAATTTTAAGATATATTAAATGCTATGTACTTGATATCAATTATGAAATTACTTATTTAAAAGTTAAGAGGTTTGGTGAAGATATTCTAAAAAAATACTTTTTTTAAAATAATTAAGCTATTAAAATTTATGATATGAGTAATTTTTATGTTGATATAAGTTAATCTCATTGACATAAATATTTTATAATAATTGAGCATTATTAATGTGTTGATATATTTGTTCACTACAATTATTCATTAAAAAAATTAAATAATAAATTTAATAAGTAAGTAATATAGCTTATTATATTGAATAGAATTTTAAATTATAATAATGTATTTAAATCATTTAATGTTTATAAGATGATAAAATTTTTTATCAATTTAATGATAATTCATATTAAGGAAAATTACTAAAACATCTATCATAAACATAATAAAAATTGATTTTTATACCATAAAAAATTGACGAGTGAAACTTAATATATATATATATATATTATATACATGTATAAAATTAAATATAAATATATGTGTTAAAATATTTATTTTATATATATATATATATTTTTTTTAATTATTATATACACTTCATCATTTTGCCCCCTAACAAAACTTCTAGCTTCGCCCTGATGACATCTAAATATTATCTCTTATTTATTGTATCAAATTATTTTCACAAACCATTCAAAAAACCTTCTTAAAATAATTAAAAATTTACTTTTTAAAAAAATTAATTATTTTTAAAAATGCATACAACCATCGTAAAAACTAACAAAAAAAAAATTATGTGTGTATGGCTGTATTTGCATGCATACTTGTAATGTTCATGAAAGAAATATCGTGCAATCAGCAGCATCGACTCTTGGAGTTATGGCATTGGCCAATACGAACCTTCATGCCCAGGGGCAAGAATCCATACACGGACTTGGACACAGGACTTCTTTTCTCACCGTGCTCCTTCCAATTATAAAATAAATTAGTTTTTAAAAATATTTTCTAATTTAGAATATATAAAATTAAATAAACGCTACATCTTTTACTATTTATATCCTTATTTTTTAAATATTTATATTTAAAGACCATATATATATATTATTAGGAAAACTTAAGGGCATAGGTATAAAGATGTTGACATTTGTAAAGGAATAAGGTTTTAATTAATATGTTTGGTAACAGGTGAATTAGTTATCAATGATAAATATTATAATTTGAAAGAAGTACCTAAGAGCATTAAAAATATTTCACATCCACAACATGCTTTTTTTTAAACAAAAAAAAAATCGCTTCGATTATTGGTCGGCATCGACTGGGTTATTGGTACTGCTTTGTGAACGAAACGATCGGGGAAATTGACTTCACTAACTATACAACTAGTTGAGAGAATAGTGCAGTGTCGGTTTCATGGAAATTTCCTTTTCAAAACTAAAGGTTAAAAATTAATCGGGGAAGTGG